GGAGAGATGAGGACAGGGGCTTGGAAGTTACATGTATGTTTGGGGGAATGGAATTGAGGACCTCTGCTAGTGTGACAACAGTTGTCACTATTTGGAGCTTGCTTGCTTGCTTGCTTGCTTTTCTTTTTTTCTTCTTTTTCTTTTTTTGCAAGTGGGTCTCCCTCTGTTGCCCAGGCTGACGTGGAATTTCCGGGCTCAGGCCATCCTCCTGCCTCAGCCTCCCTGGTAGCTAGGGCACCACCACCCCGGCTTTGGCGTTTTATTTTTAAACGTATTAAATACCTCTTGTGATCCAGAGTCCTAGTTTTCTTCTGGCCAATGAGGTGAGGGCCACGGTATCGGCCTCCTTGGCCACACCCACCCCGACCCGGAGACGGGTGGGAGTGGGGATGCGGAAAGCGGACTACTAGCCACTGGGTGCCTCTTTACTTCCCAGACCCTTCTTCCTTCTCCCACTTAGGCTGGCACACAATATGGTCACTGGCAAGTGAGGCTCCACCTGTTAAACCTGAACACTCAGAGTAGAGGGGCTGATTTTAAAGACAAGGGCAGGGAAAGGCCGGAGACCGCAGATGACCCACGCCGTGTAATCAGACCCTGGGACAAGTCGGCCTTTCCCTGGGAGCTCATCTCAGACCCTGCTCTTGGGAGCCTGAGCAGGCAGGTGCAGTGGGCTGGGAGACCACGCAGCACCCATTGCTGGTTCACAACCGCAGAGTCCAGGGGAATCTGGGTGCCCATGAAGAAAGCCAGCAGTGTAGACCAGCTGCACATTGAAAACCAAGCAGAACTTGGCCAGAGCTCTCCAGCTATCTTCCTTTACCCCTCTGGACCTCAGTCTCCTCTATAAAGTGGGAAGGCTAATAGGTACCTCAAAATACTGGCACATTATATATGCAAAATTCAAGGGGCACWGTAAACGAGTCAAGAAACGGTAGAAGTATTTTTATCATGGAATCAAAGTGAAACAAACTGTTTCACAGGAAGATCCCTACCTATCCACCCCACCATTCCAGAACTTGAAAAAGCCCGATGAACAAGTTCATTTCTCTAGTGGCCATAAATCTACTTCCCTCCCCCAAGAAATGGCCCAGTTTCCCTTGAACCAAATCTTACTTTTGCTGTTCCGTTATTTCAGGCAATCCAGATTTTCTGGGAAAGCATTAATTGCAAACAACCAATTAGTTCATCTTCTGTAGCACAGTCATTTATATTTGCACTGAATTTATAGTTCCTTCCATCTAAAGGTCATTGTTTTCAACAAAGATAATGTATTAAGTGTACAGAGAAACTGAGTTGAACTTTAATACTTGATAAGCCTATTATTATTATTATTAATTTTTGCTATGAAAAGTATCCAACACAGGGTCTCATTCATGTTAGCCAAACACATCCCCAGCCCTTTGAGATTCTTTTGTTGGATAAAAAATGGCTTATACTGTGCATCCTAGTTCTGATTCAGAAATATAAGCCCTTTCCCTGTCCCCTGCACAGGAGCCCAGGATTTGATGTGAGTACATAAGTTCCAAGGGCTCTCCCATCTTGCTGGTGTCTGCTCTCTCGCTGGTCAGCACTGGGACCTGAAATCATGATTCCTAGGATCAAGCGTGGACTTTGGGTACAGAGATTCAAGTCGAATTCAAATTCTGTTCTGTTTTTAGCTGTGTGACCCCAGAGTCTTGATGCTTACATGCTTCACTACCTTCCCAGGGGACGTGGCACAGGTGACACACTCCCTACCACAGGCTCCTTCTCAGGAGAAATGTCAGCTCCTCAGGAGGAGTTGCCCAGGCCACTTCCCAGCCGGCTCCCGCCCTCCTCACACCAGCCCCTCTGGGTCCCTCAGCGTGTCCCTTTGGTTTTCCAATCTTCAAAGGCAGGGACTTGGTGTCATGCAGGCTTTCGTGAGGGAGCCATGTGAGGACCTTGGCCAGCCACATTACTCAGGGCCTCAGATTTCTCAACTGTGAGATCTGCATGAGGGCCAAAGGGGACAATGACATCCACAGTTCTCTGTGCCCTTGCTTCTGGAGGTCTGTCCAGATGGGACGCCTGAGCCAGGACTTGTCAGGGTCACAGGCTGAGGCAGTTCCCATGCTGCCCCATCTCTCTCTCCTCCCAGTTCTCAAGGACGCCTACCCGTCTTTCCTCCTCGCCCCATCCTCACCAGCATTTCTGATGCTGGAGGGTTTTCCTGGGAAGGGGCTGAGGTGTGAATCCCTTGGAAGCCAGCAGGCGCCAGTGGTCAGAGCTGCAAAGACAGTTCAGCTTTACTCACCCCTCTCAAGGGCTCCCCAAGTCAGAGTAAACCCTTTGCAAAGTGGGGGATGGACAGAGGCCAAAGTCCACATTTCCCATTTCCCGTGTTGGGTGGGCTCCATTCACTGGGCACAGGTCCCCCTTCTGCATCTCCTCCCCTGACCCAAGTCTAGGCCAAGTCCTCCCTGCAAAAATTGGCTTGTGATTCTCCCTCCCCAAGCCCAGCTCCCCAGGACCCACTTATGGACAGCCTTAAAGGCTTTGTTAGGCCAGTGTGGTCTGCCCCCCTTCACCTCCAGCTCTCTGGGCAACCTCGGACACAACCGTTCATTCATCTAATTTATAATATCGAACACTGTAGCGGAAGAAGGGCTTTCTCAGCCCCCCTAGAGTTCCTGGCTAGGTCTGAAATAAAATGGACAAAGACAGATGGATGGGAGAAAAGCATAACAAATTCATTTCATCCGTTTTATGTGACATAGGCGCCTTCAGAATGGAGACCCAAAGACCTGGGGTGAACTATGCATTCTGCTTAGGTTTTAAAAAAGCATCAAATCATAGAAATATGATGGGACAAAAGGGTGTGATTTAATGGGGAGACTCAGTGGGACCCAGTGGACACCCAGTAAGGCCTGTCTGTTCCCACTTGGCCTCTCAGCTGGGAGGACGTTCTTGTGACCTACCACCAATTATAGGTCAGAGAATTTCTCTCTGGCAGCTCTTACACAGAAAGGAGTGGGGTGTACAGTTATATTTCCAGGTTTTATGACTTGCTTTGAGGAAGGGCATTGGGGAAGAGGAATTCTAGTTTCCAAGATCCAYGTTAGTGGGAAAGGGGAGAAGGAAAAAGGAGGACAGGAGGTCAGAAAGACCTCCCTTCGTGCCCTCTCAGGTTTCCTTCAGCCTAGGTGCCATACTGTGGGGTACCTGCTCTGAGCCCTAACGCCTGCTGGGTACCAGTTACTCTTCTAGGCCTTAGGGGATTCACCAATAAACCAAACAGATGAAATTCCTCAAGGTGGATCGAGGTCACCGGCCAAGGCGACAGCCCAAGTTCCTAGGAGCAGACATTCTTCGGGGTAGGAAGACAAAGAATATAATGAATCAAAGAAAAATATAGAATGGAGATAAGTTTAAGGAGAAAGTTCAGCAGACACAGTGGGTGGGGAGCCCATGGTGTGGTATTCACTTCCTGCCTACCAGGTTCCACTTCCTCTTTGGTCTCAAGGCCACACAATTTAGAAAGCAGTGAAGCCAGTATGTGCACCCAGGTCAAATCCATGTCTTTAAAAACTGACTCTTGGGGCTGGCATGTAGCTCTGTGGTGAAGCTCTTGCTTAGCAGAGTTCAATCCCCAGCACCACAAAAGAATTAAAAAATTTAAAAAGACTTCTGACCACGTGGATGGGCCCCTAAATCCAAGTGGTAAATGTGGTTTGCTTTTTATTTCAGTAATAATTCATTTCATTTCAATAATCAAACAAACAAAAAGATTCCACGTGCATATTACSTTACAGCTTTTATTTATTGAGGGATGCAATAAATAAACGTATTCCTTTCTTACAAAATTTTAATGGCCTGAGGAGAGAATTTAGCGTACCCGTCAGCTGAATGGTTGAATTTAGGGGAAAAACTGATCCGGATGAGGTCACTGCGGTTCTGCAAGGTGAATCGAGGTCACTCGCCAAGGCGACAGCCCAAGCAGAACCGGATTCGCCAGATTCCCTAGTCCTGCCTTAACCCTTCCCGGCACCGGGCCGCTGGAGAGGGCACTCAGGGCAGGTTTCCCGGAATGTCGCCAGGGGGAGACCGAGAGCAATTACCAGCCCCGCGGGGGGTGAGGTCCCCAGGCCGGGAGGACTGGACAGGCGAGGGAGGGCTTTGGTAGAGGGAGAAACACTATGACACCACGGCTAGGATGTCTGTCCTCCTACTCTCCTATTTGCAGGAAGGTTCCCACCAGTATCTTCTTCGCACTGTTGCCGCCTGGGCCTCTCAAAAATCTGACCACCCCTAAGGCCCTTGAACACCTCCAACACAGCTTTCAGGACAAAAAAAAAAAAAAAAAAAAAAAAAAAGCCGACCACGGGATCTGCGTGATCTTGCCCATCTTCCCCCGACGCCGCTGGAGCCGCACTGAAATTCTTCCAATTCCTTGAGTTCCCCTTACTCTTTCTCCTTGAATATCCTTGTCACACCAGGTCTACCGGGGGAACCCGACTGTTTTCAGCTAAACGTCACCTCTGAGTCCTCCCCTGGCAAGATCCCCGAGCCTCGCCCCACACCACCCCCTGTTTGGGGAAGTGGCCACTCCTGTGTTGCCATGATTCCTTGGGCTTCCGCCACCATCGCGCGTGACAAATATCTGGCCCTATCTTTCTCCTCCAATGCCTAACACGGAACAAAACAAATGCAGTGAGTTCATTAAACGTTGGCAAGCTGAATGCAAGAGGCAGGACAAGGGATCAGGCTGTCACCGGGACCTCTGGCAAACCACCTGGCTCTCGGGTTTGCTGTGAGGAGTAAGGGACTAGTGTGTGTGTGTGTGTGTGTGTGTGTGTACATATATAAACACACAATATACATATACACACACACATTATGCTTATTATGCTTAGAGCAATGCCTGGAACACCGTAAGCACTTACTTTCGTCATTTTCACAGCGGCCAATATGGGTTATTGCCCTTTTAAGGCTACCCTCCCAACTTCACGTCTAAACGGAAGTACCCCTAGGGCTCCGGAAGTGACCTCAGAGCCCCTCAGAAACATGGCCCCGGAGCGCCCTTCCGGAAGCGGTCACAAGTATCTCCGTGACGCAGAACGAGTTAGAGCGTCCCGTAGGGTTTCCATGGTGTTGYCCTCAGCACCCCGTCTCTCCGCTTCCTCTCCCGCCTGAACACCGGGAACGGGAAGGCAGGCGGCGGGTCCTTCCCAGCACCGCCTCCCCGTCTGGGGGAGGGGTTGGACGAGCGGGTGACGCTCTGGGCGAGCTCGTTCGCTTCTCTATGGTGCCCAGCGCTCCTGCGCGCCGCTCCAGCGCGTTGGAGCGGACGCTGCCCCTTTAATCGACAGAGGGCGGTGCCGAGGAGGTCCCGCGAGAGCTGCGGGGGGCGGGGGGCGGTGCCGAGCCGGGGGCCCGTGGCGGATGGAGCCAGCGATGGAGCCGGAGACTCTGGAGGCGCGAATCAGTGAGTGTCCGGGAGGGGCGCGGGCCGGACCGGAACCGGAACCGGGGGCGCGAGGCAGGCCCCTTCCCGGCGGGGGCGGGGTACGCGGCGCCCCCTCCTCACGCCCCGCCCCCGGCTCGGGAGGGGCGGTGTCCCGAGTCGGCCCCTCCGACCCTGACCTGCGGGAAGACCCCGCGGGCTGCGCCGCCGCGCGGTGGCAGCGGGCACCGCCCACCCACCCATGCTGGGGCCTGGACCCCGAGCCGGGCGGGAGTGAGCTGCGCCCGAACCCCCKGTCCGGAGGGCAGCCTTCAGCCCCCTCAGGCCCGGGCTGCTCCGCCGAAGAGCAGGCCCCCGAGTTTTCGCTTGGGCCCAGGGAGGGAGCGAAGGAGCGGTTCCCGGGGCTGCATCTCAGACCCCGAAAGGACGCACCCTTCTCAGGCCCCATTCACTCTAGGGCCCTGGGTGGAGAGGTACCCTCCTGTCCATCCTGGATCTTGCAATTACTCTCAGATTTGCTCTTTCCCCGTCCAGATGGGGATAGTCAGGATTCCCCCGCGGTCCCCACCGTGAGGCACCCCGAAGACCTACATGCTTGGAGGGTCTGGTCCCAGGCTCCATAAGTAAATCCAAGTTCGCTGTCACTACCCCCAGCCCGGTCCTCTTACTCTGCATCTCCGTCCACGATTGCTTTCCCAGCTCTTGCCGAGCCTCCTCCAAAGGCCTCTGCACCTTTTCCCAGTCTGTCCCTAGAGACAGCGTCCTGCTCAGGCTTCTGAACCCCCACGCCCTCCAGCTGAGCTGCCTGTCCTGCAATGCTGAGGATCCTCAGCCCTCACTATCCCTCTCCTAGACTCTGCCCTCCGAAGCCATGATTTGCTTCTCACTGGTCTAGTGACAGCTCTCTTCCAAGGCTTTTCCTCCTTTGACCCCTTGTCTGGGCCAGGTCTGCAGGGAAGCCTCTTGGGCCCAGACATACCAGGGAGCTTTGCAGGGTGGTTTGGGGTCGTGACCAGCCCCTTTTAAGCCATTCTTGAGCAGAGTTGAACTCTGAGTTGGCCTTGGAACCTCGCCATCCCCAGGGATGTGTCAATCAGTCTGGCCAGTGTGGGGAATGTGGTGGGTAAAAAGGAGGCACTCAGAGGCCATTGACTGTTCCAGAATGCTACAAGTGTCCAGGTCTCAGCAGCAACTCGGAAGGTTGGGTTGGGCCCTGGCTGACTGATTTCAAGCTGATTGAAAACTTTTTAAGTTCTTTTTTAAAATATTTATTTTTTAGTTGTAGTTGTCAATACCTTTATTTTATTTCTTTATTTTTATGTGGTGCTGAGGATCAAACCCAGGGCCTCGCACGTGCTAGGTGAGCGCTCTACCACTGAGCCACCACCCCCAGCCCCAAGACAATTTTTAAGTCTGAGTGATGCACAATAGTCTCAGGTGTAGCTCAGGGGTAGAACCTGGCCTGGCATGCACCATCCCTGCATGGTGGGTTGGGGGCTCAGCTGGAGGGACAGATTTAGCAACAGTGGGAATTTTCAGAGAGGCCAGAGTCCAGAAACAGGCAGAAGTTGGGAACACCTGGGTTTGACCAGTTCTGGATAAATTAGGGCTGAGATTGTTTTGTCTTTTTCTTTCCCTTTGAATCCTATTAAAATTTTGAACTTTTCCTTAGTGGCGGTTGGAGGTAGATGATGATATTGTCACCACCTTGGAGTGACAGGGTGAAGTTGCACCCTGTTGTGAAACCCTCCCTCTCTCCTCTCCCAAGGCGCTCTCCCCTGCTGCCTGCCAGGGAAGGTCTTGCCCAGATAGAGTTGAGAGGGCCAGGGCAGTGGGTCAGGTCTTCTTGGACTTTAAGCCAGATGAAGGGGAGAGCCGGTGGCCTGTAAGACCCACCTTCCTCCACAAGTTGTTTCCAGAATCAGTGATAGTGTCCTTATTCAGGCTCACATGTCCTTGACACTTTAGGAGACTTCCTATTTTGCCCACCCCACCCCCAGCTGAGTGTCATCAAGTGGACAGGGCCTCCCTCCTTCTGACTGGTGTTCCCCAGCCTTTGGCCATGTTGGGGGCCTGGGAGRTGGAGTATATAGGGGAGGGCATATTCCTGGTATTTCCAGGGGTTCAGCAAGGTTTTCTGTTCCATTAAGGGAATGGGAGGTCCTGCTGGGCTCCTGAGACAGAAATTTAGACCTAGGAAGAAAGTGCTTCACTTGATTCAGCCCATCTTCTCTGAGCAGTCCCAGGGAATGGCCACCCCCAGCGTCTTCTACGCCACCTTTTGCTCTTTACTTTACATTACCTTCTAACAGACAGTATGCAGTATCCTGTGTTTGTCTATTAGTCTTAGCATTGTGTTCCTCTTGCTGGGCCATTGGCCGCAGGAGGCAAGCGTTTGATCTTGTTTGCTGCACTAGGCGCAGCACCCCAGGCTTACTGAATAAATATGCCCTGAGTGGATGGCTCTCAGGCACTGGGACCCCAGGCTCTGGCCCCCTGCCACATGCTGGGCCCCCAACTTCCTGCTCTGTAGATCCTTCTGTGTCCCACCTCCTGGGCTCTGTTCCCTCCACACCCAGCTCAGTGTCCAGATGTGGGCAGAACTGGCTGGGAACAGGTGAAGCTCAGAGACAGGCTGTGAGGAGCGAGGGTCCCCCTCCAGCTTCCCAGGGCCTTGCCATGCACAAAGCGTTTTGTCATCTGAAATTAGTCCCTGTTTCATTCTGACTTTACAAGTGGGGTGTTGGAGGTTCAGGGAAGTTATGACCTACTTTGTTTCTTAAACAATGTTGGGGTCAAGGGACRAGTGTCTGGTCTCAATTCCCATCCCCTTTCTGTAGATGACCTCACCCCCGCGGGCTCACAGCTGACCCTTCATTCATGGTGCATTTTCCACTGGCTGAGGGGAGAGGGGTGTACACAKCGGCTGTGACACAGGATGATAGCAGGCTTGGGTCTGCAATCCAGAGGACACAGAGAAAGAACTCACCCCACACTGCTACCTGGGCAGTGGAGAGCTCAGGAGGACTGCCTGGAGGAGATGGCACTGAGCCACACCCTAGAGAAGGGCCAGCATAACAACAAAACCCGCTTTCCTTTCCAAGGGCCTCATACCCTCCTGTGCTCAGCTCTGTTTTCTGACTGTGAACTGGTCACAGGCCGGCCCCCAGCTCCGGTGACTCCTTCCAGTCCCTGCTGAGTGCTTCATCTTCCAGACAGCTTCCCCTGTCCCCCGAATGCCCTGCCTCCTCATCTGGGCCCCATGGCTCCTTTGCCTCCTTCTGTCAGTGACAGAACCTAGCTTCTCTTGGCCCACTGCCTGGCCACTCAGCTCCTTGAGAGTGGGACCGTGGCTTCCCYACCTCTTACCTCTGGATCTTTTCTGAGCATAAATTCCAGAAGCAGAATCAGCAGAGCTGAAGTTGGTGTGGCAGGGGTACAACTGTAAGGAAGAGGAGACAGGAGGAGGAAAGTGACCCTGGGCAGAGCCTCTAAGAGTGGGGCCCAGTGGTGGGAAGCTGAGCAGAGGCCTGCCCAGGTCCTTACCTGATCACCTACCGGATTGGAGCTTGGAGCGAGGGCGCACAGGTCTTGGGACTGTCTGGGCAGGAAGTGAAGCAAGGCCACTGCTGTGTGCTTGTCCAGTCCCTCCTGCTCCCAGCATGGGGTCGGGGAGCAGGGGCCCCTCTGCCTGGCTACTCTGATGCTCCCCTCCTCCTGCAGACAGAGCCACAAACCCCCTGAACAAGGAGCTGAACTGGGCCAGCATCAACGGCTTCTGTGAGCAGCTCAACGAGGACTTTGAGGGGTAGGTGGCCCTCTCTTCCTACTCCTCAGAACACTCTGTACTTGCAGCGAGCACCTGCCTGGCCATGGGAGAAAGGACCTGCCTCCTCACCGGATGGAGCTTCCCAGTTAGCAGCAGTGGTGGGCCCTTGAGTCCAGGGCTACTTGTGTGTCATTCTGAGTTGTGCCTTGTGGGGCCCGTGTTATAGGTTAAGACCCTGAGGCTCAGGGGATGAGCAGTTGGCCCCAAGATGTGATCGGGAGGCAAGGGCACTGCCCACCCCAMCCCCGCTGGTGGATTTGTTGGGGRCCCTGCCAGGAGAGCCACATGCTCCCAGCAGACTTTTTGCTCAAGGAAGAACCGTACCCCCCTCGCAGAGCCACCTGGCGCGCCTGTCAGGACACRCATTCTTGGCTGCCTGGGCTTAGCTGTTGGCAGGGGCTGAGGGGTGGGCATTCTTTTTGTGGTACTGGGGATTAAGACCAGGGACCCTTTACCGCTGAGCCATATCCCCAGGCTTTTTAAAAATTTCATTTTGACAACAGGATTTTGCTAAGTTACTGAGGCTGGCCTTAAATGTGGGATCCTCAGCCGAGCGTGATGGCCCATGCCTGTCATCCCAGTGGCTTAGGAGGCTGAGGCAGGAGGATCCCGAGTTCAAAGCCAGCCTCAGCAAAAGCGAGGTGCTAAGCAACTCAGTGAGGCCCTGTCCCCAAATAAAATACAAAATAGGGCTGGGGGTGTGGCTCAGTAGCTGGGTGCCCCCAAGTTCAATCCCCAGTACCCTCCCCCCACAAAAAAAGTATGGGATCCTGCTGCACTGACTCCGGCAGTGATCTTTTGTGATCTGGTTGACATTGTCACCTCCTCCACCATGAAGCTGCTCTGATTTTCCCGGCAGGAAGTCCCCTGCCATCTTGAGTCCCCAGGGAACTGCGCCTGTCACTCCTGGCACATCATTCATGGGTCACTCCCAGATGGGCCCTGAGAAGGCTCTGCTCCTCTGTCCAGGCTTGTCTCTGCAACAAGCAGGGGACAAGACCAATTGTATTTCTTTTTTTTTTTTTTTTTTTTTTTTAAGAGAGAGAGAGAGAGGGCTGGGGTTGTGGCTCAGCGGTAGAGCACTTGCCTGGCATGTGTGAGGCCCTGGGTTCCATCCTCAGCACCACATAAAAATAAATAAATAAATAAATAAATAAAGGTGTGTGTCCATCTACAACTAAAAAAAAGAGAGAGAGAGAGAGAGAGAGAGAATTT